ATTCTCGAAGCAGATGTGGCAATACTGTCCATATTTTTTAATTTTAAAGTTCGTCACTAGTAGTGCTGCAGTGCAAACTTGCCTCAATCGGTACGACAGGATGTGACACGAAAATGATAAAGGAGAAAAATATATTGTATGAGAGGTCTATTCATATACCTCGTCTGTGGTCATGCAATGTCTATTCATATACCTCGTCTGTGGTCATGCAATGTCTATTCATATACCTCGTCTATGGTCCAACACTGTAGTGCAATATTTTCCTAAGTCGATATGACAGGACGTGAGACGAAAATGGTAACAGGGTCAGTGACCCTCAAAACCTGGGACACTAAAAAGCATTAGATGTCCGGTCTATACTGTTAATCAATGGTAATAATATACGCAAAATTCTAGAGCAAATTACTTTGTAATAGAATATCCCATTGTATCTTGCAAAGTGAAATGAAAAGTTGTTACTATGTACATGCTTGTTCAAATATAAAAAAATATATTTATTAGTTTTAGAATAAAATACTTTGAGTTTAAATAATATTATACATTTTATGTATATTGTTTATACACTATACATATATTGCATTACATATAATACATTACCATATAATTCATGTTACTTTAAACGCTATCTTCGAGATATCTTAATCAACTCTGTGTCACTGATGACGTTATTGACATTCTTTTAAAATCAAATAGCATTATTATAATATTCTTTTCTTCTTGCAAAAATGAAACTTTCACTCGATGAACAATAACGAATATGTTTTAAGTTGAAGGTAGTTGAAGTATTATATATATTATATTAGATTGTCTAAAAAATATTGGGCCTTTGGAGATCAAAATTAAGAACACTTCCGTTTCGGCCGTTTTGTTAGGTGCAATCGCTCTAATTGTAACAGTATAGATCCGAATCTGTTCTACCTGGCGGCAGCAGCTCGTGATGCACGATGCCCTTAAATCCCACCAAACACACAACATAACTTTCCTGGGCGTCAGTATAAGTTTTGATTATTACAGACTGTGACGCTTCTCCTCGTTTTGACCACGATCTTTTTCGCACATTGTTGTCGTAGGTCGTTATCCACTTTTCGTCATTTGTTATTAATCACTTCAGAAATGGCTCGAGTTACCTTTCAGTAGAAATTCGATCGAGTAAATTTTTTTCAGTCAGATTATGTGACATCCAAACGTCGAACTTTTTTTTGTAGCCAGCTTTCTCCAAGTGGTTTAACACTGATGGATGTTTAGGTCCTTGGCGATGTCATGACCTGCTTACATGCCGGTTTTGCTCGACTTTTGCCAGAATATCATCCACTTGTTCTATGATTGGTTGCCCACTGCGAGAAGCATCTTGAACAACAAAATTTCCAGAACGAAAGCGACTAAACCATCTTTTGGCTTTTGTTTTTGATAACGTATCTTGCCAATAAACAGCACAAATTTCTTCGCGAGCCTGCGCAGCATTTGTGCTTTTATCGAAATAAAATTGCTAAATGTAGCGCAATTTTGCGGAAAGTTTATTCATCTTCACGGCGTAATAACTTACGTCCGAGTATAAGAATTCCAATTCCACTTTTTGCACATCTACTGACTTCAAATGCCAGCTGTCAAATGACTTTCCGCCCCGCTGCGATTTATATACCTGAGATTTGGAACACTAACGCTATCTCGTGAGCAAAAGGCTCAATACTTTTTAGATTACCTGATATATATGGAATATCATTCTTTGACAAATACTTAACCTCTTTTTAACTATTCCTTTTTTTTTTAGAAGAAAACTGTATTCTCTTTTTTATATAATTATAGAATAACAAAACATTTTATCCATGATACATTGAAGAGTTTCAAGTTACGTAGATAATATTTATAAATACTGTGAAAATGGATAGTCTTTTCACACAAAATATTTCAGAAGAACCAGAGGATATACCACAAACAGATGAGCCAGTTTGGATTCTTGGAAAAAAATATAATGCTATAAGAGGTTTAATAGTTAATTATAATAAGAAGATCTGTAATAAATTAGATATGTAAGATCTTAAATTTCAGAACTAGACGCAATTCGTAGGGATATAAAATCCAAATTATGGTTTACTTATCGAAAAAATTTTGTGCCTATTGGTGGTTACAATTCTACATTTACATCTGACAAAGGTTGGGGTTGCATGTTAAGATGTGGTCAAATGGTTCTTAGCCAAGCTTTAATTATATTACATTTAGGTAACTTTTAATTTAAATTTATTAATTTTATTACTTAATGCTTTTATAATTATTTTATATACTTAATTTTTACCAGTCAAATTTGTTTGATTAACATAAGTAAAATTTTATATAAATTAATTATAAACATTTAATTTTTAAATATTAAAAAATGAAAAATAGGTAGAGATTGGCAATGGACACCAGAAACCAGAAATAGTACGTACCTGAAAATTTTAGAACGTTTTGAAGATAAAAGAACTGCCGCTTTTTCTATTCACCAAATTGCATCAATGGGAGCATCAGAAGGAAAAGAAGTTGGACAATGGTTTGGGCCCAACACAATAGCACAAGTATTAAAGTACATATTTGTCATATCTTAAATATTTTTATATTTAAGATTTGATATTTTATTAAATTTTAATTTTTAGAAAATTAGTTGTGTTTGATGAATGGAGTTCGATTACAATACATGTTGCTCTGGATAATACATTAATAGTTAATGACATTTGTAAGTAATCACACTTTTTACATTAATATATGTATGTTTTAATTGATTTTTTAAACATTATTATATTTGTAGTAAAGCAATGTAGAGTAGAAGGAGGTACAACAGTGGAAGCTGACGATAATATACCATTGAAAGCACCTAGCCAATGGAAACCTTTATTACTTTTAATACCTCTTCGTCTTGGATTAAATGAGATTAATCCAATTTACATTAATGGTCTTAAAGTAATAAAGAAATAAATGTTCTTGCATGAATTACTGAAATTGACATGAAGTATGGATGAAGTTATGAATAATTTATTCATACCTATAATTTTTCAGACTTCATTCAAAATTCCACAATCTCTAGGAGTAATAGGAGGAAAACCCAATCTTGCACTATATTTCATAGGATGTGTCGGTATGTATGTATGTATGTTTCCATAACTTAAAAAAAAAAATTATTAAGAAAAAAATATATATGTATCATAAATCAAAATGTGTACAAATTACAATCTTTGCAGGAAATGAAGTAATTTATTTGGATCCTCATACAACACAAAGATCAGGTAGTGTTGGCAAAAAACTAGAAGAGGAAGAGATTGAAATGGATATTACTTATCATTGTAAATCTTCTAGTCGTATTCTTATTACAGGAATAGATCCTTCTGTAGCACTTGTTAGTATATTATTTTTACGTTTAAGACTTACAAGCAATTACTGTTTAGAAATTAATTACAACAATTTATGAAAAATAAGATATATTTTTATGAAATAAAAAAATAACATTTTATTTCAGTGTTTCTTCTGTGCAAGTGAAAAAGATTTTAGATCTTTATGTAAATCTATTCAAGAAGAATTAATAGCACCAGAAAAACAACCTTTACTTGAATTATGTGCAGAGAGATTAGCACAATGGTCACCAACTGAAGATGTAGCTTTAGAAGCAATAGCAGCTTCAAGTTGTAAGTATTTCAAAATTGATATGATGTTGACAAAAAAAAAAATAAAATTTTATTAAATAATTTGAAGTTTCATTTGTTACAGTTAATTTTAGTAATTTTTTTTATAGTTGTAGATTTTGAACATATAGATCCACAATGTGATACATCTGATGAAGATTTTGAATTACTTGGTTGACATTTAATTAATAATTAACAAATTTATTATGATATAAATAATGTATATATAACATCAAAGATAATTCATTCATACATAAAATACAACCATTCATTCAATACGTACATTGATTTGTATTAATTAGTACTATTTTAGTACTAAAATAATTTATATCAAACAATTAAAATATTGTATATATTACTTATATCTAAATTTTTTGGACATGAGTGATCTATTAATATTGTTAATATAATATAATATAATATAACATAACATAACATAATATAATACAATAGAATATAATTTTCTATGTAAAGGATATTCAAACTATAAATTATATAAAAATATTCAATTTTATAAATAACATAGAATGTACTTACTTTTTATATTAAAGCTTTTTTAATTAAAGCAATATTTGTATGTATCTCGTGAATAGTTCGTAAATAGTTAAATTATATATATCAATAATTATGTTAAAAAATAATCCAAGTCTGAAATGAATTAATTCTAAACATAATGAGGTATACTATGTATAATATTTCTTTATTTATTTCCAAATTGTACAATGTAAAAAATTACTTATGAATTAGCTAAATTTGATAAAAAGAAATAAAAAATTTAGAACACTCGTGTCCTTAAAATATTTTTGCCTTTAACAAATAATGCATGTGATCTTAGTATATAGTAATATGCTTACAATGGCATGCAAAAGTTTTCAGATAAATTTTTTACAGTTTATTTTAAAAGCAATATCTAAAGAATTATTATTAATATTAGAAATTAGGTAGAGTATTGTTATTTTTCATTCATTTATTAATTTATAAAATTACTGTACAAAAGTATAGTAAGTTTAGTATTATAAATACTAAAAATTATAAAATACTATTTAAAAGTCTCAGTTATTTTGTTCTACAAAAATCTGTATTTTATTCTAAAATGTAATAGTTGTAGTATGAATAACTCATATTTTGCAATATTGTTATTATTAGAAAAAATATAATTACAAAATATTAGTAATAATTTACAATATAAATTACAACATAATTACACAATAAATTAAAATATTATAAAACGAAATGATTAGAAATCTTTGACACAAAATAACAAATTGTTTATTTGTTGCATAAAATAAAATATTTATTTTTTATATTTATAACTATGTATCTGAGATTAATTAAAAATTTTTAAAATATTTTTGATATACATACTAAAAAATTTACTTCGCAGGAAACTTTTGAATACCACTGTATTTATAAATTTAAGAAAATCAAATTAAATATTTAAATTTTAAAGATTATTTATAATCTTACACGTTATATCTTTTAAAAATGTATTGGTAATTCATGAAAATAACCAGGAATGTAAAATATATTGATTAATATATATTTAAAAAATAAAATGATTTTTATATTGATTTATATTATGTAAAATTGTATTAGTTTTGTTAATAATACAAATTTATTACAATTTAAACGTTATATAAAGTGCATAGAAACAATAAATAAAATTTTATTAAAAAGATTTAATGATGTTTTATAATTCAAGATTTTATAAAATTAAAAATTTTACTATTTCTACGTATGTTTAAATAAATTATTTTAATGTTCTATTATGTTATTACATGTGGCTAATAGTTTCTATTCAAATTATAATGAGGATTATATTTTCAACCAATATAAATATATGTACATTTTTATAAAATTTATTAAAAAGTTGAAAAAAATAATTATATCAAAAATATAAAAATTAATTATTTTATAATATCTAAATAAATACACAATTTCATATGTGGAATTAATTTTTAATAAATAAATATAGTATAATATTCAAGACCAATTTTAATTGCACTTTACAAATATCAAAATGTATTTATTTGAATACCATAAAATTTTCTGTATTTCAAATTTTATATAATAAAAGTATACAATTTAAAAATGTTTTTATTATTAATTTTTGGTACAAATAAAAAAAATTTTGATAATATATATCATTGACTAAGATATATATAATAATATATAATTATACTATATAATTATATATATTATAATATATAACTATATTAAATAATATAATTATTATTAAGTTCTCGATAAATATTTTTTGTTTATATGCTAACGTTACTTAACTAACTAAATTTAATATGTTCAGATATTATATATCTAGGTCTCGTTTATGTAGTAAATCTACACCATGTAAAATGAAATCATGTAAAAAAAATTGATGAATCAAAGAAATTAATATTTTTTTAAGAAATTCAAATTTCATACGTTGCTTCTTATAATACAATCAATTTTCTTTTTACTAGAATAACAATAATAATTGTCGCTCCAGGTGTCTTTTATTGTTTCGTGCCACTTTTATTTTTTTTAACTCTTAATAATAAGTCATATAATTTTTTAAATCTATTTTGTCATATAATTTTTTAAATTTACTTTGAAATCATGCAAACATTAATTATTTACAATGAAGTGAATAAAAATATCTTTATCGACATTATTTAATTAATTCTTAATTATGTTTTAATTATTATTTTTAATTGTATCGTTTTTATCGTGTAACAAAATTGTAAAAGAAAACCGTATAGCTGATAAGACATAACCATATTATATCATGTAACTAAATATAAATAAAGCTATCCATGAATAAAAAAATCCATGTAAAACAAGACCAAAATGTACTTTTATTACTTATTACTTTCAATGTACAGAATTTTTTACATTCAAACGATAGTTACTTATTTAAATGTAAAATATTACATTAAATATTAATAGTTATTTAATATAACATATTCAGACGTGATTTTTTGAATTGTTCATTTATGAAATTCATTCATTCAAATTTATATAAAAATAAATATTGCATATTCTCGTTTGTATATCAAAATTTTCATTCTGATACATATTATATATATTACATGCATATACATATAGATTATTATTACAACAATTTTAATAATATAATATTAATAATATAATATTAATAATATAATATTAATAATATACATAAATATACATGAATTATGCATTCATATTTTGAATCATATTATGGTATAGAAAAATGTATATTTCACAAGATAAATTTAATAATATAATATACAATACATTTGATTTCAAAAACATATATAACAAAGCAAATATAACTCTTTTAAATTCAATTCTTTCAAATTTTATCAATGAAAAGAGTATATTATAAACATGTAAATAAAAATAATTATAATGTATATTACAGTAGAATTAAAATTGACTCTATAAAAAAAATAAAAACTTCAATAAAGACATAAACATAAAGAATACATTCATTTTTCCCAAATTTACACTTACTAGTTATTAATAAGTAATTAATGACTAGAATTGCTTTGGAGAAAACATAAATTCGTTGTATAATTAAATGATTCTATTGATTCTTTTTAATCTCTGATATGCTGTATTTACGATCCTTCAAATTAATTACAACTACAGTAATATTGTCAGCGGAACCCCTATATATTAAAAAAAATAAATACATAATGAAAAACTAATTCAAATCGATATTTAAAAAAAATTGTAAAGTCAGTTTGTATTACCTGTAATAACTTTGTAATGTGATACTTTTTGCACCAAAATGTGGTTCGTTTATACGTTCCTTAATAAATGCAACAGCCTCTTCGTTGGTGAAAGTATCCCATAAACCATCTGACGCTAAGACGATAAACATTGGATTATGATCACTGAGATCGAAAGTTAAAATATCGGGATCAGCAATCACTAATTTTTTATCTTTTAATGGATAATCTCCTAAAGCTCGAGAAGTTGCTAATATACCAGCAACTCTCCATACACCATTAAATGTTACCAAACCACCAGCTTTGTTTATTCTCCGCCTTTCTCTTTCCTAAAAATTATTTTCATAAATGAAAAAATATATTTCATTATTAAAAATGTGTATTAATATATACAAATTACATACTTGTTGAGGTTTGTGATCAAAAGATAAAGGTATAGCATTTCCTTTTCCATCACACATTACACCTCTAGAATCTCCAACATTAGCCACAATCAATTTATTGTCTTCTAAGAGAGCAATTAAAGCAGTTGTACCTACATTATAAATTTTAGAAAATTATTCTTATTATAATATTATAATAAGAATCTATTATAATAAAGAAAATAACTATAAAAAGGAAATGATTACCAGCAACATCCATATTTTTTTTAGCAGCCTCAACTAATAATCTATCCACTGCCAATACTTCATCAGTTAGTAATCTACCATAGTTTATTTTATTTCCATCCAAGTAATTCGTAATATCTACTTTTGGTATTCTTTCCGTTGTTCTACATGGTCTTACCTTATAATTAAAATAAAAAAAATGTTTTATATATTTACTATTTTAACACTTAACCGGCCGGTGCTTAAGTGAGAGAATTTTCATTGACGATCGGCAATATTTTGTAAATTTGCAGGAAAAGGAAGTAAACTATGAATTCGGTTATAACTTTCGCATTTATCAATATTTTTTTATGAAATTTTATATGATTACTCTTCACAGTCCCTGATTGAAGATATTATTTCCCTGATTGAAGATTTATTTAATTCGAATATTTATGTATATTTACATTATTTAAAATGGTATGAAGTATAAATTTTCAGGACAATAAAATAAATTATGACCAAAAATTCGTTTTTATTATTTATTATTACTAAAAACAAAAAACTCTGAAACTAGGTATTAAATATTTTTTTAATGAGTGGTGCAAAACATGAGCTTTTATGCAATGGAATACCGCAAAATTCGCATATGAAACTGGTCAAGCTTTTCTTTTTTAATGCAGCGCATATTCTGCACTGCCTCTAGGAACATTTTTTCTTTCCTCCTGCAATTATTTTTGTAATCTTGTGTTTCTTGAGATCTCCTAATCTTCTAAAAGGATCATATTTTGGAATCCTTGGGGTAATAATGTTAGATGGGCCTGATCGTATGTCTTCAGCTGGATCATTTTCTAAAACATCATTATGTATCTATTGAATTGCAATGCTGTGCAGGAATTTTTTTGTAAGACATTTCTTGTCCGTTTAATGTAACGTATACTTTGAAAGCATTGAAAAGGGCACAAATTTAAAAAGAACAGTCTTAGTCCATTTTTTTGTTTTGCGAAAAATTTTATGTTACAATAAGTATTGCTCAGCCCTATCTACGCCTTCCACATATTTGTTATATTGTAGTTATAGCAGTTTTCACACTATTATAACAATTATCTAAGTAACTGTGATGCCACAGATAATTATATGACACACGTACAAGAATTCCATATTTGATTAACTTTGCAGGATTCTAAACCTTAGCGTACATTCTAAAACTTAGCTTTCGAGAAATAGTTCTTTTTTGGGAGAGTATATTATTAAATTTTTCTTGAAATAGGAGAATATTGTTTGAACTTTTTTAAGTTTACTTGAATTATTTTCAAAATTTTCATTATTGTTAAAGTGTCATGACCGCTAGATTTGCCTAAAATGTTGTCTGCTCATCATTTTTGGAAAAAAAAAAAAAAAAAAAAAAA